ATATTCTTAGAAACTTTTCAATGGTTCATTGGTTTTTACCAGAATTGTATATCACTTATGAATGAACGGACGAAAGACATTGTTCATTATTTATAACTTTGATTGGCATGCTAGAAATTATAGAATATTACTTGTTATTTCTTTATGATCGTGGTTATTAATAGCAACGTATATACATGTATACAATCATTTATAATCCATATGTGTAACGCATGATCAACACCACACTTCACTTGTGTAATTGTCCCTTATTATGCGAAGACCCCCTCTTAAGGTATCTGTTCACACTTAGTAACAAAATGACACTTGTTATATTACCATGTTGATCCTGTTGAGCATAATTGTTTATTATACAATAATTGTAATATCTATTTTAATAAAAAAATTACAAATTTTATTAATCTTGTTTTATTTTCTTTTTTGTGTTTTATGCGCTATTTTAATACTGAGTTTTTACGTTTACTACTATTTTAAGAATTCAATTGTCATATTGACCGACGATTATAAGTCAAAACTTAACTGGAAAAAAGTAAATTATGGTTAATCTTTCAATATATAATAGTGTTTATTCTTAAACCATATACATGTACATTTGTATTTTTCTTTATCATTTTTTTTAAATTATCAATCAGTTGAATAATTCATAAAATCTGATATGTAACTTTGAATAATTCCTCGGCATCTTTACTAAACACGAATAACAAATTAAATGAAATGTTTCAAAGTTGATAGTGTCATATTAATGCCATAAAAATGTACATTTTTTTCTCAATTATTGTACATATTTATTGTTTTTATCTCATATAGATAAAATAAAACATGCGATTTGTGTTGTTGGGTTTTTTTTTTCGAATTGTATGTTTATGTATAATAATAATCAATAAATTTGAGAGTTGATCATCATCTGTGTTTCCTAATTATTGTAACCAAACTAAGTGACAAACATTCATTTTGAAAAAAAGCTTATTTATCTGTAAAATATTTGTTCTGTTCTGTAACGATATCAAACATCTACTCCAAAACCGGGAGAGACCGGACAATAAACGTGTGGTACTATTCGCCGGTCACTAGTAAATCCCGGTCAAAATAGACGAGGAGAGACCGGGAATTACCGATATGAGTACATCCCTCTATAAATAGATTTTCGGAATATTTAGGTCATCAACTCATCATTCTATTTACAGCTTTCGGAATAACATACCATACTGTGTACTACAAAATGATAAATAAAACTACCCGAAGAGCGCGATTTATTGACGGAAAAGGTTATTTCATTTGAAAATATTTGCATTGCGAAATTCTCCAGTTCGCTATTCATTGTACATATCGCGACTAATTAATAATCAAGCACCCTCATACCGATCGGAATGATCGGCTTTTATTATGAACAACTATAAAAGGCTCGAGAAGTTGCTGTCGCCCTTTCACAAAATCTGATTTCATTCCATAAAAGGCGCCGCGCTTCGGCGCGGACGCCAATAATGTTTATGTACTGAAAATATTTTGTGAAGTTTACAAACTATATTCATTTAAACATAATGCAGTTTTATAATCAATTTGCCTAAAACGCTGTCGTTTAGTAAACATATTTCATTGAGTTTTTAGTATCATAAAGTTAAATTTGTGGACATATACGTAAACAAACCTTAAAGTGGTATAACTTGAAATCTTAGTGTTTCAAAGTTATTGTTTAGGTAAAGTGCAGTCACTCATAATCTGGTTGTTTGGATATGCTAGTTATAGTATTTCTATAAACCATCAACACATTAAAGATGGAGACAATACTTGTATAAACATAATTTATATAAAAACCAAATAAAAACAAACAACAAACGAACAACAAATGAAACAATACAAGTTACTTCTTTCATATACTCTATTGTAGTGTTAATTTTTCAACCAATGACAAAAAAGCGATTTTTTCAAGATATACTAGTAAGTGTTGGTACATGGTGTGAAAGCAGGACATCACTACTGTCACTGTTCAAGTTCATTTGTATAATATGTAGTAATGTTTAAGTGGGAATTGCACGAAATTTTCGAGTGTTAGAATTATACAAACATCGCCACCTGAATGTGTGTTGATAGCGTTGAAGTGATCGTATCCAGAATAGAATTGTTCTTGTGGCTTATCCATTGGTCGCACACATTTTTGTGATGTTCCATCTTTTGCACCAACTGCAGGATACAGTTTTTCCCAGCCGCCACGTTTACTAAGCCACTGATCTATGGTTGGTCAAGTGATGTAATTCGCAAATGTGGTGTAAAATGTACGAATTTCAATATGTACATACGCGGTGCACATATTGAACATGGTGGAAAGTGTTACAATTCTGGGATGGGTAACATCGTATCCATATAACAAACAATAAAATTATATTTACTGACCACTGTAATTCTAAGTTCATGTAATGTTGATATTAATGTTTCTGATGTTTTACCAGTTATTTTATAGAAATTGTACACATTTTCTGAGAAATTTGAAAAAAAAGTTTCCTTTGGAATATATATTCGAACCATTTGAAAATAAACGGTTGCGAATATCTAGTACATCATTACGGTAACTAAACATAACCGTGTACGGCTGATATATTCTGAAGCATCTGGGGATTGAAAAAAAATCAGGAAGTGATGCTTAAAGTTAGCCTTCGCCTGCCAGCGTTCATGTATAATTCTAACGCTCGATAATTTCGTTCAATTTCATACTGAAGCGATACTACATTTTATACATACTTTAGTCATAGTGATATTTATACAAATATAAATAGGACGAGTGCCGGGTGTTTCAAATGTTGCAGCAGGTCAACGTAATCGACCGGCTCATCGCAGGAGGAATAAGCACCCCTTTGTAAAACAAATAAAAGAAAATCGGGCTCTCTACAGGAGATCACCCCCTCTCCAAAAAAGCAGTAATGACATTTACCTTTAGTCTTGCTTTCACAACACTCAAAACGTAATGGCATGTTTGTCATTGGTTGAAAAATTAGCACTACAACAAAGAATACATGAATTAGGAAACTTGTTTTTTTTGTCTTTCTATAAATTATGGTTATATTCTCTTCTTCTTTAATATGTTGATAGAAATATTATAAAAAAATATACATGAATAATAACCGCTATAATACTGTTTTAGCATACTGATTATTTTATTTTCAGCGCATATACATTTTGAGAAAATCCCCCAAATTATTCCGTATTACGAAATCCGTTTACGAAGTCCGTTTCAGATAGAAAGGTCTATTTATCAATAACCACACTTCTTATACAATATTTAATAATTATATGACCTCTCCAATAGTTTCTTGTAGTAAGTTACTATATCTGATCGCACAGCAGAAGACAAAATTTAAACAAAATAAAAGTAATAAAACAATAACGTATCAAGTGTTATGTTTGGTTCGTTTATCTCCGTTATTATTATTGCAGTCTCTATTATCTTCATGTAGCATTATGGATGCCGCGGAACGTCTCTCATTGACAGTTATTTCATTTGTTAACCAATCAAAATAGTCTGTGCTCAGTTTGGTCAGTTTGGTCGACAGCACTTACACCGAACACCATCCATCTTGTATCACGCATGCTTTACTGATTCTGAATTTCACGCACTACTGATTCAGGTTTCATAGCACCGGAAATATCCTGTTTATTGGCAAGAACAAGAACTGGAATGTTTTTGAGTTCTTCTTCTTTAACAACAACAAATAATTCTTTCAAAGTTTGGTCAAACCTGAAATACGAAAGCAACTTTGACAAAAAGTAAATTATCAAACCATACAGTACCGGTATGAATGTACGTATGTTCATATGTCCAGATTAAAAACTGAAAAACAAAATTCTTGACATGATATGAATTACATAATGGCAATGAACGCAACAAAATATTTACATTAGAATTACAAACGAAAAATGCTTATGATTTAAACTTTAAACTATAACAAATGAACATTTTTTCTGTGGTACAAATTACATGTGTGTAATTATTTCCTTATATTTTTCAATTATTCATAGAATTTCAAGCTCCTGTGCACAAATTTAAGTTAACCCTATGACTTTCAAATATGGTATTTAAGTTTAATTTAAAACCACACACGATCAAATGTGAACAGAACAGAACAACACTTTATTAAGTCTAGTTACATATAGCAACACAAGAGTGTACAATACATGGTACACCAATATATAATATAATAAGTGACATGGCAACTGAGCATCTGAAAAAAGGTACCATCGATATTTTTATTTTTTTGAACATCTTATTAATAAAGAAGAAGTTGGATTCGGGGGTAGATGTCCATACATGTTGGAGTATGTTTAACATTATTGGTCAATTTTGAAACAGATTATAGGTATAGAGGCGTGGGCGGATCGATGATGTTTGTAAATAAACTCCGGTATCTTCACGCTATGTTGGTCACATGACCAACTGTGTAAACTTACACGTGTTTTGCCAATGCGGTAAAAAAAGAAAGAAAAAAAAAACATTTGTAAATAAAATAGTAAGGTAATAGCTGATAAAAAGAGGAAATTACTGAAAAGAAATGGACGGAATGTGAATATATTGATTAATTCAGGTATCATCAGTATTTCAATACCAATATATTCATTATAACAATATTGATAGTACCTTGCACAAATAATTAATTACACATGTACAACTGTTTGACAAAATAAAACCATTTTCACTGTATAGAATTTAACAATGTAGTTATAAATTTACATGTTTTCTTAAGTTGTTGTATGACTGAATTACTTGTAAGTAGCTGCCTGAATTTTAATATATTAGGTCTATTATAATAATACCTATTAATATATTTTTACGTTCATCATAAAAAAACAGCATTGTAACAGATATTGAAATTCGTCTGCTACGTCATTAGAATCACAAACTAAATATTTAACAATGTGTTAAGCATGTCTTTAAACTATACAATAGCGTAAATCAATAAGAACCAATACATGTGAAACTTTATTGAGAAGACATAAATCTACTATAGTAATACCCCTCTCTGTCACTACTGTCTAACACAAACACAATTCCATGTGTACTCGCGTAGTAATGCCTTAATAAAGGCCGTATTTTCTCTCTGTCGCCGATATCCCACGTTGATATTTCTAGATGTTTAAAGTTTAAAGTCTCCGACATATATCCAACTGTAGGTATGGTTGTTCGAACATGCATGGAGAGTTGTTGTTTTACCCGCGTCATATCGACCTAGAACTAAAATCCGTATTGTTTTCTTAACAAACAAACGTTTAAATAAAGCGTTCCCCATTTTACTGAAGCGGAATATAACATTTTAATTTAGCTATAAAATACCACGGAACAATTGATCTGTTATGAATGTTTACTTTTTCTTCTTTATATATAGATGTGTATCATGTGCTATTTATAGCTCGAGTAATTTTCATTACAGACACTGACAATTTTTCTGCGGCACAATTCAGGTAATATCTGGAAAGTTTTGTTAGTTATACCAGCTTCATGACCTACCTTTGTCACAAATTGACACGTCTCTTTGTAATACTTAATACTAGATAACATTTACAAACAATTTTTCTCTGAAGAAATGATTAAACATATTAACAGTTGTTATACGTCATTTTTCTAAAATATAATTCAATTAATTCAATTTTAAATGATAATTTTTGAATATTTGACTGAATACCCTGCAAACTTATATAAACTACATATAAACTTATACAAGTGATAATTGTAAATGATGCAATATTATATATGTGAAAAAGTACATTACTGTGAGATAAGATAAAAAAACATGTATATGGCAGTTATAACACTAACGATACGATACAATACAATATGATAGGCTGTCATTCAGTACGAAACAGTATTATACAATGCAAAACAATACAGAAAGATTGATACAGTACGATGGAATACAATATTAATATTATTATCCAATATTACACAATATTATTCAATACAGTACAAAAAGATATGCAACGACATAAAACAATACAATACAAATAAAAATGTGCACTATATATGGCGAATAAAATCTTAATGCTAATCCATTGATAATGCATTATTATTTTAATTGTTGCTTTTTCAAGAAATGGAAGGTAATGATAAATGATTTAGCATTATTATAAATCACCTATACCAAAATGTTGTTCATAGATAGCATTATTCGGTATGGTTTTAAATTTTTAATCATGTGTTCTGCTTTGGTACTAGGGGAATTCTTCTACAACTAAAATACAAAAAGATGTCCTTTTTCCTCAATTTATTTTCAAACTATTTTTTAAACTATTTCAACCAGAGTCATACAATCTATGTGTCCATATATAGAATAACATAAACATATATTAAAGATTGAAATTATTATAGCATTATATTACACATACAAATTATCTAAACAAAGTGAAAGTAGATTTCAATAAGTTTCATTCAACATGCCATTTTTACTTGATTATATTAAACAAAAGATGATGATTTCATAGTCTATTACATGTTTTCAATCCTATTTATTATCATCTTGCCTTCTAACATATTATAAAGATTAAAACTTAAGTTCTCACCAAATAATAACAATATAAAGTTTCCGGAAATAAATTCTACTGACAGAAAGCGCCATGTTTACTTTTCTCCAGTATTAAATAATGCCAACTGGTCAAATTAAACGGAACGACTAGTTGAACGAAAAGTTTAAACAATTACGCCAAGTGCTACCAACAACAAATCTTAAATTATTATCTAAGAAAGTAATATATTAAATACTTTATACATGTAGATAAAACAATTACATGTACATTTAAGTCAGAACATAAGTTATAACACCCAAAAATTACAAAGTACAACATTCTCTTAACATTAACTTAAAATATTTGACTTACCTAAAATACAAAAAGATGTCCTTTTTCCTCAATTTATTTTCAAACTATTTTTTAAACTATTTCAACCAGAGTCATACAATCTATGGCTCTTCAGAGGAAAGGACTTTAGAACAACAACTTCCATAACAATAATAGACCAATCAATTTTACTGTACATCATGTGACCCTTAATTCCCTTAGTTAATTTAACCAATCAATTTTAATTTTGTGTAACAAAATTTGGAATCATCCAATGAAACATTGTTTACTTGTTAATAAAAGTGTTAACTGAAACCCTGTAAGTTCATGACAAATCAGCTTATGGTTACTGATAGTGTTAAAATTTCTTTCGTAACATTTACTATCGAAAGTTCTGAAATAGGATTAATTATCTTGTTAAAGCGATTACCGTAGATTGGTTAACTTAGATTTTCCTATCTGTATTTGTTCTTATGCCTTCTGTTATAAAATATTACCGACATTAAAGCGTACCTTAAGAAATAAAAGCAAAATATAAATTAAATAAAAATGAATAATAAAAAATAAAATAAAAATTTTTAATGCATAATACCACCCCCTCCTCTAAATTTTCTTTATTCCTATAAAGAGTAAAGGAGTAATATATCCAAACTGTATTAATTTAAATACATCAAGCATTCTATATATTTAAGTAAGTAAATGCATTAAGCATTATATCAGTATTTTTCTACATAAAGTACAAAACAAAAGCATATATTTACAACAATAACAAAATAAATGCATTATTTTTTTTAACTGTCATTAAATACCATTTATATTCTCATGCATATTGCATATAAGTATCTCAACAGTTTTTGTTTTTTGTTGTTGTTTTTTTATAAAAAGAAAACATATACATATGTACAAAAATCAATACACCATGCAACACATAGAAATATATGACATCAATTTGATTAATTTCTTTTCATCTTGTAAAAGTTTGCATTCATTGTAAGATAATTCAGGAAAATACAAATTAATGTTCTCATATATATACTAAAACAATATATACAATTTATTTGTCTGAGGTGGTGCTATCTATACTAACTATTATAAAGCAATGGGTATAAACATGTATTACCAAGTTTGTAAAGGCATGAACAATTTGTCATGTTGAATAAAGAAATAGGCACAATAAGTGGTAGACATTATATGTCTTAATTTTCTGGACACAAAATAATTTACCCTGTAATTTGTTTCTATCTGTAATGGTTGATTTGTTAGCTTATTCTTTATTTCAAAATCATCCCAGTCAAATGTAACAATGGGAGTCCACATACCTCTGATTGTTATTTGTTCAATGTTTATAGGTGCCTTTATTTGCCAGTAGGTAGGACATAAAGTTAGAGTTTTAAGAGGTACTTGTACAGAATGTTTTCCATTAGTGATTTCAACCACTATTTTAGTACTGTTCCTCGAAACCTTACATGTATTTATCATTATAAAAACAAGAAGAATTATGATTATGATATTAAGGGATATGATCCCGTGCTCATTTCTTCAATTTAGTTTCTCCCAAAAATACATGTCATTTGTTGTAGCTTGTTGAGAAATTATATAAACTAATGATGGAACAGTTGAACCTCTAACCTGTTTAGTTCAAGTGATTTGTAATGTAGATACAATAATTAATACTTTTCTAAGCTTACATGCTGTAACTATAAAAGCAATTAGAGAAAATGCTGCAACAGATGCTGTTACATATAAAATAATGTCATTGGTTGAAATAATATTATCATCCAAAGCAATATTTCCTGACAGTAAAGAATCTGTGAGAGATTGATAAATAAGTGAATTGTCTTTTGCTGATTGTGGCATTTTTTGTAAGTTAAGATGAGCTTTGCTGTCATCTGCTAAAATTTTATTCATAGTGTGATTGTAAATTTCAAATTTTGGAACATTTATAGCCATTGGATTTTCAAATAATGAATTACTATCAATATGTTTCAAAGAACTATCATTAAAAAATTGTTGTAGCAATGCAAGATTTACAGGATGCAATTTTGCTGAAGTATTTTCATAGCAGACTGTCAATCTTGCAGGTAAAAATGTATGACTTGTAGAGACTGAACAATCACATGGCACAGTCATGGTACAAAATTTGCAACCTTTAACCATTTTCTTTCCAGTTTTACAATCATATTCAAGGACATCAACATTATAAACTAATATAGAGTCTTTAGATAGCAGAACAACATCATTAGAAATATGATTCAGCAAAAATCTAAAATTACAATTTTCTTTGATTAAAATTTTGTCATTTTTAAACAAGGAGAATTCACAAGATTTCTTAATAGCGGGCAATAGAATTTTATCACACTGCACAATTTTATTAAAACTTGCATTTTTGAAGTTCCAGATTTCCAAAAGTTGTGTAATATTGTAGATCATAAGTAATAGCAATATGATCAGGTAAATCTAGTATTTGTGTTGCATGATTTGAAGTTTCATTTACTGGAACTGGAAATGAAGTTATCTTGTATAACATTAATGGCTTTAAAATTTGTGAAATGGGAAATTTTACAGAAACATATAGAGTAGAACCTTTTCTAGCATAAAATGTCCTAGCATAATGGTAGATAAGTGCTGGGTCTGTATATACTAAGTGAAATCCTATGAACTTTTTGTCAAGAATGTTCTGTATATCATTCAGTGTGCTTGACATTGTTTCAAAGTTAATAAAGTGAGGAGATACCTTACCATCAATTAAAGCATAAATACCATCCAAAAGTTCATTGAAAAGTGTTTCAAGCTGTCTAGATTTTGTAATTTGCTTAGAAATGAATGCACTCATTGTTGTAAATGATTTCTCTAAATTATCAAATGATTCAAACAATTGAGTTTGAATATGTTCAATAGCCAAATGATTTTCTTCCAATCCTTCAACAATATTTTTCATTCTTTCATCAGACGCTTTCATGTAAGAACTAAGATCATCTTCCTGTTGTTCTACAGACTTAATCAGATTGCTAGATATTTTATTTCATGAATTTATATGTCTGGCTAGCATTTCTACATTTTTTACTGTAGCTGTGCCAAATATTGATCTTGAGAGATCTCCAATAAAAGGTAAAATGGCACGCTTACTTCTACTTTTAATTGAAATTTTCTTTTAAGGCAACAATTTATTAATAGTAGCAATTGTACCATTTATCATAACTTCTGTTCTCTGTCGGATTTGATTAATCTCAACTAACATTTCATTTACTAAATCACAATTTTTTTTGGTTTCTATTACAACCAAAAATACTGAACAAATTAGCTGTTTTTGGTAATATAATTTCAAATGTATGAATCCATGACTCTTCTGCCAACTGCAAGTTATCCACTGGTTCAAATACAACCCCATAATTCAAATGTTGCAAGTCAGAGACCTTCTTTCCAGACACCGATGAACTACATAGTATCATGCTCAAGGTGAGCATCAGGACAATGGAAGCAACTAGAATACAAGGAAATGAAAAGAATCACTAAAGGGACAAACAAAGTGATCAGTTTTATCTGCCTAACCTTTGAACTAAATATTTGAAGTAAAAAGAGAAAAAAAAACATTCATTCAATGCACACATTCAGTCATCACATAATATACAGTCATATTCAGTTCAAAAGATAGTGATCCTAACCATCCTGCACTAATTTTTTGCCATCTTATAACACGGACCTGAACTATAGTCAAGAAA